CCTTCCCTGCTTTCCCTTCCCTTCCCTTCCCTTCCCTGACATCTTTCACTGACATCTTTCCCTTCCCCGAGGGAAAGGTGCCCCGTGCGAAATAAATCTGTATCCTGCTGAGAATTCCATCTGTGCCTCGGTGCCTCACCCATCCGCTCGTGCTCTCCATCCGCCACCTCTCCATCCCAACTTTTTAACCTAACACTTTCATTGATGTCCTAATGTAAAAATCTATCAAAAGGGGCTAAAGATACTACATTTCAATTATTACAGCTGAGTGAAATCACTGGCTTTAGAATCAGACCAAACTAAATACAAATCCCATCTTTGCAATTTATTAATTGCTTGACTTTCAAAAGAACCCTTAGCTCTCTACATCATAGTCAAAAATTAAATGAGGGCTAGGGAGATGGCTCAGTATATAAAGTGTTGCAGTACCCATGCAAAAGTTAAGAGCAACAAGGAACGTCTATAACCCCAGCCCTAGAGGTAAGGAGAGGAGAGGCAATGACAGGCAGATCTGGAGACATACTTGGCCAGTTATACTAGTCAAAATTCAAGTTCCAGGTCAAAGACCATCCTGTCTGGGAAAATAAGGTAGAAACTGATAGAGGAAAATACCTGATACCCACCACTGGCTTCCATAAGCAAGGCACATAAATGGGTGACTGCACATGCAACATACACACACACACACACACACACACACACACACACACACACACACCCTATTTGATGTGGCCTACAATGATGTATTTAGAAAAATACTCTTATAATAGCCTGCTCCTCCATTTTGTGTAAGACATCTTGGTGAGCGGACCCAGACCCTACCCTGGCCTGGGGCCAGACGTTCCAGGAAGAGCTGAGGAACACACCCATATAATCCTGGTGTTAGAGTAGCAAATAGCCCCATAAATTTAACTGGTCAAGACTATAAAATCTCTAGTCTGTTGAAAGACCCACCTTTCCAGTTTCACTGGTCAATTATCTGGTCAGAGGACCGCCCCTAGAAAGGCAGGTTCAGCTTAAGTTATGCTAAACAGATGGGTGGAATACCTAGTGCATTAATGAGATAGCAAATTTTTCCTGCCTGGAATCCTGCCTTCTAGCACAAAAACTCCTTGAACCAGCCACAGACTCATCCCTGTAAGTCTTCCTCTTCAGAAAAGCATAATTTCTCCTTTTCTTCTCCATATCACTTTTCTAAAAATGTTTTTTTAAGGCTTTGGGGTGCCCTAGCATCTTGTATTTCTTTACTTTCTCTAAAGCTTCCTTCTCCCAGCCATGTCATGTCTGACCTCCATGCAGGCTGTAAACCTGCATGGCTCCATGGCTTTCTTCCTTCTCCCCACCATTCTCCTCCTCTAGGCAGCTGCCAAGATGACCAGCTCACCTGCCCCAAAGATTTTTCCTTACGATTCCAGTAAAATTGTAAAAGCGCTCATCCCCTTCCAGTTAGGGTGGCATTCTCAAAACTGGCTCAGGGAGTGCTTCCCTGGCCAGCCTAAATAGATTCAGCTGATTCGGAACGTTTTGAGTCTGAGTGGTCTTTTCCTAGTGATCTTGAACTCTGTAACACTCTGATGTTGGTTATCATAGTTAATCATTTTAACTGCTTAGTATCAGCTGAATGATCAAAGAAATGCAAATGCTTATAGTCCAAGTATTTCAATTCTGTACCATGCTCCTTCTCCTTGTAAAAAATATCCAGTAAAAGATAATAAAGCAACCTGACATCATATGACAGGTAGTGACAAACCTAAGCCTTTCTTTTGGAGAAGTGGACTACTTTCTTTACTGTTGTAGATAGAACCACATCTCTAAAAATGACAGTTTCAGTTTTAACCCCTGGGACCTTATTTGAAAACAGGATCTCCTCAGATGCAATCAAGGTAGAAGAGACCACGCTGATTTAGAGTGTGTCCATTAAGGCTAATGTCCTTAAAAGGGAAGAGAAATAGCTACAAACACACTCTGACATGTGAGACCAGAACTAAAGGTACAGTTACCCTCTACAAACCTAGGATGCCTAAGACTACCAAAGCTGGAAAAGGCATGGAAGGACCGTTTCCCTGAAGCTTTGGAGCAGGCAGGGTCCATCCAAAAGCTCTATTTAGCCTTCTAACTACAAGAACTGTTGAGAATCCGTTTTTGTTGTGTTAAGCTAGCCAGTCGGTGGCACTGTTACAGCAGTCCTAGAAAACTAACACAGTTGTGACTTTTTCTCCATGTGTTGTTTACACAAGAGCACCTTCTACATCCACCTTTAAAAGAGATGTGTGTACTACAAACTCAAACTAAAGATAACAACTATAGAACCTTATCCGTAACTCCTATGATTCCCCAAATTGAAGTCTTAGAGCTTGGACAACAGTTTAAGATTTTATTTAGAGGCATACTTGCCCAGATAAGAATGATTATCTAAAATTCTGTCTTCTTTAAAAAAGAAAATTTATCTTCTCATCTTCAATAACTTTTATATGGTTTTATGTGAATCACCAATAAAAATTTCTTATAAATTTTAACATATATAATGCTTTGAAATAGTCAAAGAAATATGATGAAATTAGCCCTCTTATCAGGAACATGACACTGTAATGCAAATAAGGATAAATTCATTCCTGAAGTCTTATTGCCCCAAATCCAGACCTCTGAAAAGCTCCAAAACTGGAAAGGTGTCAAGAAAGAAAAAATAAAAGTGGCCCTTAGAGATGAAAGGAGTTAATCTCCTTAGATAAGGAGGTTAAACATTTACAAGTGTATAAAAACTAAGGAAACAGAAGTCAGTGGGGAAGGATAGGGACAGACAAGTAGACAGACTGGCTTAGGCCAGTTCTAGGTCACTGGTCATTTGTTTAATGAAGAAACCTTTCTAACTAGCTAACTTATTTTTCCTACAGAAAAGCTGTTAGAAGATAATAAGATACAAAAGAGAAAAAAAAAAAAAAAGAAAAAGCAGAACGAGAAAATTAACAGTAAAAATCTGACTGAAAAAGAAATGAGCTGTTGACAAAAGACCAGACAAAATATACCTAGTGCTTCTCTAAACAGTGCTGGAGAGTCCAGGAGTTCAAAAAGCCACATACCATAGAAAAACAGGTTTCTGCTCTCATCCTACAGCACAAAGCTACCAAAGCCCGTCAATGCATAAAGAAATGGCATCTTTAGCCAGGTGTGGTAGCTCACACGTCCATAATCCCAGGAGTCTACAAATTGAAGCAGAGGACTGCTTTAAATTTGAGGCCAGCCTGGGCTACATAGTAAATTCCAGGCCAGTCTGGATTAGACTGAAACCCTGTTTCAAAAAACAGAAGGAGAGCAGGGGGAGGGGAAAAGAAGGAGAGGGAGGGAGGGAGGGAGGGAGGCAGGGAGGGAGGCAGGGAGGGAATAAATCCTTTTGGGATTGCACTGTTGAAGTGAGCAGATGGATACTAGGCTTTCATTCATACCAACCACAACGCATGGCAATGAAAAATGGCAAAGTATACATTCTAACAATATCAAGCAATGACAGCATCCTCAAATCAATAAAGCACAATGTTCAGAATGGTTGGCATTGAACAAACATAAAGTTTTAAAAATAATCAGGATATAAAGGAAACATTTAAGAAATATTTGAAGAAAGCAGGCAAAGAGTATTTTACTGCTCATCCTTCCATTGAAAAAAAAGTTAACAAGTTTTGAGTTGACTATAAAATCTGCAAATTCAAATTAGATCATTTTGAAGATGCCAAATATGATTATAAAAGTTTAAGCTGTTTTACTACAAATGGCATAGAGATTGTTGCTCATCTATCTACAGAGTTTTTAAAGTCAATTTCATCTTGTAACTGGGGGTAAGAAGTAAATAAACAATCTCAGTATGAAGCAATGAAACCAAGATAAAATTTAGGTCTCAAAGTAAATTAATACACAGTAAAATATATAGTAATCATGATTTCCCTTTAAAGTTTTGAGTACAAAATTAGCTGTTTGTTCTATTGAGAATACAGCTAATATTTTAGACTACAAACCTACTCTTTGGACTATATCTGGTAAATATTAAGAAAAAATATATTTAGGAATTTTTAATATAATTATTTTAAATGGGACCAGCTAAAACTAGATCACTTTTTTTGTTAATATTTCTGCTCATGCTCTGTAACTTCAAATTCCAGTCATTTAACATTGGACCTTTGGATTCATAAATTTCTCCTATTAATTCAATAATGGATTTTTAAATGAAATACTTTCTCCAATACCCTATAAACAAACAAGGAATAATGAGGTGGTAAGTTGTTTTTGCTCCCTAGCTGCAATAATGACTTGGCATTACAATGTCTACTAAATAAGGTAAAATCACAAGTCACCTTTGGAATGCAAGTCTAAGTGTACTGATGTTGGGTTTACAATTCTTATGAGAAGACTTTGATCACTACTCACATTTGATGAAGAACTTGCGCCATGGTAACTCCATTAGTCAGCTGTTTGACATCGTGACAAGGCGAGGCAGTCTTGAACGTCTGCAGCTAAAATGACATAAAGGAAATGACCTCACTGCTTCATTATCCCCACAAGGTAGCATTACAGAATAAACAGACAGAAAGCAGCTAAAAATTGTCTTTTATTCAAACACAAATGCAAAACAAAGGAAACGATACCGTGTTCCCACGGTTGTGTAATACTTTTATAAAAACAAACACTTAATGATTCATAAAATCATGCCTAACATAGTATACACTGATCTCTGAAATAATTCAGCATTTCTGAGTAATACAAAGCCTGATGTGTAACTGGTAGTCTTTCATCTACTGTCACATACAGAAAGAACTTCGAGATAACATGTACAAGTTAAATTTCCACTCAAATAACTTGATAGGAAAATGAAATCTAAAAATATTATGCCTAAAACGAATTATGGTTTTTTAATGAGCTCTGAGATAAGCAGGGACTACCCATCTATGAGCCACAGGTCACAGACAGTTGAGTTAATTCAATCTAGTTTGGCTTTAGATGATACTAACATTTCAAATCTCTATTTAAAATACTATGAGGCCAGCAAGATGACTCGGTGGGTAAAGGCACTTGCTGTCAAGATTGACAACATGAGTTAGATCCCCAAAACCACATAATGAAAAGAGAACTAACTTCCACAGACTGCCCTCTGACCTCTACTCTCTCCTCATGGTGCATGCATGTACATATACGCAAAAAATAAATATATAAGTTTTTAACGGTCATACAGACATTAAAAACAGATGTGGAACAGTGACATCTTTCCCAAAATAGCAAATACAAGATAGGAAAAAAGAGCTAAAATGGATCATACAAATTTATAGAAATCTAATTTCAATCTATACTTAAATATATTATGATTCTCTTTTCACACATACATTCACCCACTTCCTTTGTTGTTTACTTATAATTTCTAGCTCTCTCCCAGCATAATTCATTGTGATTCTGTATATTCTGAGATTCTACAAATCTGTCTCTGGTTTTCTAAACAAGACAAAAAGATGACATAGACACACTAAAGCTAGCTACCTTACTCTCAAAGTACATGGAGAAACTTCCTGAGCTCCCTACTCCATATGAGACACTGTAATATAGAATAGGGTTACAAAGAAAAGTCCAGGCTTCTCTCTCAAAGGAGCTATCATTAAGAGTAGAGGGGTTAGAGAGATGGCTGTGGTTAACAGCACTGGCAGATCTTACAGAGGACCAGGATTCAGTTTCTAGCACTCACATGGTGGCTAACAATGATCTGTAACTCCAGTTTCAGGGACTTCATTGCCCTCTTCTGTCTTCTGGCCTCCACATGCATTACACACACGTGGTGCACATACACATATGCAGGCAAATACTCATAGACGTAAAATAAAAATAACTTTAAAAACTCCTTTTAAAAATAATTACCAAATACTTGGTGTGGTGGTGCATACCTTTAATCCCATTATTCCAGAGGCAGAGGTGGGCAGATCTCTGTGAGATCTACATATGGAGTTACTGGCCAGCTGGGGCTACAGGGAGACCCTTTCTCAAAGAATAAAAATAAAATTTAAATTTAAAAATAAATTTAAATTTAAAAATAATAAATAAATAAATAGAATCACTGAAGAGTGTTAAGAATGAGAGACATTTGGAACATATTTTGGAGAGATACAAGCAGGTGCAGAGTAGTTTTATGTACTTGTGTCAAGGAGACCAGTTAGAAGACTCCTGCAATGTTCCCATTCATAAAATAGACAGCATAGAGACACGTTTAGTAATGTGGACTCAAGAAGACAGGATGAACAGAGCCTATAAAACGTGAAACAAAGATTGTGCAATTGTGTAGATATGCAGGGAAGAAAAAACTCTAACGCACAGGCACAGGGCACCTCTCAAGGGAAAATAAACATTGTGGCTCCCATTTGTCAACATTTTCTATTTATACATTAAATTCTCATTTGTAAAATAAAAGATACATCATTAACTTTTTACAAAACGGATATGATTAATGACTTTAAAAGGTCAATTTCATGAGCTGGAGAGATGGCTCAGTGATTAAGAACACTGGTTGTTCTTGCAGAAGACCCGAGTTCGAATCCCAGCACCCACATGGCAGCAAACAACTGTATATAACTCCAGTTCCAGGGGATCCAACAGCCTCTTCTGTCCTCCATGGGCACTGCACGACACGAGTGCACTTACCTACACACAGGCAATACACACATACACATAAAATTAGAAATGAGAAAAAGATCAATTTCAGAAAAATATAGACAGGGAAAAGGTACTTGCTGCCAATCTTCATGAACTGAGTTCAATTCCTGGACCCCACCTAATGAGAGAAGAGAATCAACTCCCACAAGTTGTCCTCTGACCTCTACACTTGCAAAAAATAAATAAAAGTTTAAAAAAGCAATGCATGCATACACATAAAGTATATATGTGACATGAAACCACCTGCTTGCACTGTTTAGATTTTTTTCCTCTTAAAAATAATTGCAACTAAATTAGGTAACAGAGATGTAATTTCATTTGAATAAAGTGAAAAGACTTTATAACAAAGAATAATAAAAAAAATTAAAGTTTGTGGAGGGATGAAGCCAAGCCGAGAAAATGCCTTCTCTCACAGTGCTTCCACATAGGTGAAGGGAAAGTCTTACTGGTGAATGAGTGGACGTCCAACACTAAACACATTACTGTGATAAAAACACCTTAGGTTTTTGTTTGGTTTTTTCGGTCTTTTTGAGACAGGGTCTCCCTGTAGCCCCAGCTGTCCTGGAACTCACTATGTAGACCAGGCTGCACTTGAACTCACGGAGATCTGCCTGCCTCTGCTTCCTGAGTGCTGGGATTAAAGGCATGCGCTACCGCGCCCGGTTTAGTTTTTGTGTATTTTTAAATAAAGCAGGTAAGAAACACAGAAATGTTGTCCCTGGGCTGCTTCAGTACAAAATTCACAGAAATTAGGAAACAAAGGTTTAATAACTGAGAGCCAACAAACACTCAATCTCAGATCAATTCTATCTATAATAATATCCTCTTCTAATTTCTCACTTCAGAAAGACATTTGAGTTTCCAGTCTTCATGACAATAATTCAATCATTAATCATTTTCTTAATGTACACACACACACACACACACACACACACACACACTTTCAACTGCCTGTCAAAGAGTGGAAAGAAAAAGAGAATATTTAAAACCATTTGACCCAATACCCCAGCTACTGATAAAAGTTCACAGGTAATCAATAAAAGACCAACATCACAAAACTAGAAATCAGAATTAAATTTATCTTCATGAAAATATTTTTTCAAATTTTATAGACTATTATGCAAATAATGCATTTTTTTCCTTCAACCCTGAATTTTCTAAGTAGCAGTACTTACAATTATTAAGAAGAGTTATTTTAAGAGTCCAAATCATAAAACACAACACTTACAAAGTTTCCCCAAACAGTACCCCTTTACCTAGTGTGCTGGACAGCTTCAGTTGTCAGTTGACACACCTGGGGAATTGCCTCCATTGGACTGGCCTGTGGCCATGTCAGTGGGGTATTTTCTTGATTTTTGAGTGATGTGGGAGGGCCCAGCCCACTGTGGGTGGTGCCATCTCTGGGCAGGTTCTGTGTTATAGAAGAAAGCAGGCTGAGCACAGGCCAGGGGAGCAAGTCAGTAAGCATTTCTCCACGGCCTGTGCTTCAGCTCCTGCCTCCAGATTCTTGCCCTGAGTTCCTATCTTGGGCCCTCTGATGAACTGTGACCCGGGAGATGTAAGATAAAATAAACCCTTTCCTCCCCAGGTTGGTTTTGGTCAGAGTGCTTTGTCACAGTAACAGAGAAACAGAGTAGAACACACAGCCAGCTTTCCTGGACGGCCTTTACCTAGCCACCTTTCCTGGACGACTTCTCTGTTAACCCCCTAGTGCTCCAGTCCAGAGCTGCTTCCTAACATCACCTTCAGGATTTGGCCCACCCATCATTTTTCCTCAATCTTACAAATCTTTCTACTACTTCTTAAAACACAAAAGTACTTAGCATATTTGGAGACACATTAGGGGGCCAAAGATAGCCTAAGGATTGTGTATCTCCTACTACTTCCCCTCACAGTATAGCCAAAGAAGTTCATGAGTATCAATTACCAGGAAGGGCTATTCCTTGGCTTTGGAACACATTTCCTCTGATTTCTACTCCTTGATCCCCACCATAGTGGATCCGCCATGATCCACCTAAAAATTTACCCTCCAGAAATCTGTATCATAGTTAATAGTAAAATATAGGTCTGTGAGGTCAGAGCCAAGACAACTACATTTACTACCACTACTCTGACTGAATATTATACAAGAGATCCTAGTGATTATTCTTCCTCTTAAGGGCAGCAAAACAGATCAAGCACCAGCTCTGTTGCTAATTAGCAAACTACATGTCAGAAAGTGTTACATGTTGTTACAGAAAGAGGTCAGCAAGTCATGACAGAATAGGGTAGGCAACAAGTAGGTTTAGAAAGGAAACATCAGATTCAACACCTGAGTGGTGAAAAGCAACTAGACAATGGATGAACTAAGAGTATTTCTATGTAAAGGGAAGATTTAAAAAAAAAAAACTCCTATATAAACACCTCTGTGTACATGTGTGTTTTAAAGCATAACCTCTTCAAGAAACTATAAGTCAATGCAGCATGGTGGGCATAGAGGTGTGTGACCTGAGGTACATCTAGAAAGATCAACAATGTGAGGGCTGGCAAAAGAAATGTAATAAATAAAAAGCAAGTAAAGTTCAGTGGAAACACGAGAGAGGATAATTTCAAGTAATAAATGGAAAGTATTACACTTACTGGATTTGTCAAACTGTTAACAAGACTTACAGAAAAGAACCTCAGGTGGACTGAGGGATGAATGGAAATTAAAAATAAGTAGTTTAAAAAAAGAAACTGGGCTGGGAGGAAGGAGAAACAGTATAAAGTCAAGTAGTGACTTTGTTCTTTTTTAAATGGGGATGATTGAAGCATATGCCCAGAAAGGAAGGAGCTAATGGAGAAGGACGCTGTGATTGGCTGAGTGTGCTGGCACAAGCCTGTAATGCCAGCTACCTGGGAGGTAAAGGCAAAGAATCACAAGGCCTGCCTGCATTAGTGAGTGCAAGGCTTGCCTGGGCATCTTGGACTCTGTCTCAAAATAAAAAGTAAAAAGAAGACCGAGGATATAGCTAAGTTGGGCAGCACCTGCCCAGCCTGTGGAGACCCTGAGTTCAATAGGTACTACAGGTCAAGGAAAAAAGCAGCAGCAGAAAGGGAACAAATGATGGAGAAATGCTCCGAAAGAGTTAAAGGGACAATGTTTGAGGACAGAGGCAGAGATCGGGAGGTGCTCTTCTGCCTGAAGGAAGCCAACTTAAACCAAGTAGAGAATCAATAAAGGTTCACTAAGAAGAATTGGGAAGAACTGTCTGGTTGCTCTCAATCACCAAGCTAGACCCATTAGAAGGTGCATTTGGCGGCAGCAGCAGCATTACTAGAAAGCAATAATGGTTTTCAGACATTCATTTTCTTCAGTGTACCGCAGTCTTAAAGAGCACTGCAGAAGCAAACAGCCAACTGTCCTCTGTTGTCTATGATTCCTTCTGTAGTTCAATTTTTTCAGATCTTGAGGAATTTTGCCTTCCAGAGTAGTTTAACAGCTGTGCCTGGTACCCCAATTAAAGATGATTCCTTAGAGCCAAGCACCAAGTAGTAAGTGAATAAATATTGCCTCAAGAATGAACAGTCGCATAAGATGTTTAAATATCTGTTACACTGAAGAAAATCCTCTACTTCATCACACCTGGCAGGGAAATCAGTGACATCATAAAGAAGCAAGTTTACCATGTCAGTCAGACTAGCAAACACCTTATGATTATCCACTTGTTTTAACAAAACATCATTAAAAGACTGACAGTCTTAAATATAGCATCTGAACCTAGGTACTTATTTAAATGAAAATGCAGATTGAGAGTAGGCTAATTGCTTTATACTTTGAAATCCTAGCTATTAGCATTCTACCTACAGTACATGTTATTTATTACCAAAGTGCAAAAGTTACTTTAATTTCAAACACCTACATCAATCTTTCAAATTTGTCCTTCAGTGGAATTACATGCATTAGAAGCTGGCTAGGCAATCCGTCTGATTACACACTCCTGATCCAGTCTACTTCCACTGCAATTTGACACACTGCCTCCACACAATTATACAACTAGTTTGAGTTTTGACTGTCATCAACAGCACCTTATGGGGCACCCAGCACCATTATTGCCCAATATGGGTTAGAAAACACAACTGGATGCCAGTTCTATGGTGTCCAAGCTATTCCAATTGAGCAGAAACCATTTTGCTCACTGGACTAATGAAAAAAATCTAGGGATGAAATCAGCCTGTCAACACCAATGAATCCTAAACATGGATAAAGTCTAAACAAAAACGCAGTCTTTTACTTTGAAGAAAAGCGTTATTTGGAGAGGAAGGGAGACAGAGATAAAAGTAAAGAAAAGAAGTCTCCAGGTTTCAAGACAGCTTTTTCTCCACACAGGAAATACGTAGAAATCTCTCTTCAGCAGTGTTTATAAAATCCGATGTTCTGTGGGCCCAAACCCACTACAAGCTGAGGCTAAAGCAGCCCAGTCTTATCCAGAGCACTTGTGCACAGACGGGACCTGTTATCTGGGGGCAGAGGCCAGTCTCCCAGTGTGGCCGGTGGAAGGCCGCAGGGCAGGTGAACCTGGCAGGAGCACAGGGCAAGAGGCGGGGACAGGAGTTGGGGGCAGGTGGACAGGAGATGGGGCAGGAGGACGGGGCAGGCAGACAGGAGGACGGGGCGGCAGGGGGTAGGTGGACAGGAGGACGGGGCAGGAAGACAGGAGGACGGGGCAGGAGGGGGCAGGTAGACAGGAGGACGGAGCAGGAGGGGGCAAGTGGACAGGAGGACGGGGCATGTGGACAGAAGACAGGGCATGAGGACGGGGCAGGAAGGGGCAGGTAGACAGGAGGACGAGGCAGGAGGGGGCAGGTAGACAGGAGGACGGGGCAAGAGGGCGCAGGTGGACAGGAGACGGGGCAGGACAGGGCAGGTAGACAGGAGGACGGGGCAGGAGGGGGCAGGTAGACAGGAGGACGGGTCAAGAGGGCGCAGGTGGACAGGAGGACGGGCCATGTGGACAGAAGACGGGGTAGGAGGGGGCAGGTGGACAGGAAGACGAGGCATGTGGACAGAAGACGGGGCAGGAGGACAGGGCAGGAAGACAGGAGGACAGGGCATGTGGACAGGAGACCGGGCAGGAGGACAGGGCAGGAGGGGGCAGGTAGACAGGAGGACAGGGCAGGAGGGAGCAGGTAGACAGGAGGATGGGGCAGGACAGGGCAGGTAGACAGGAGGACGGGGCAGGAGGGGGCAGGTAGACAGGAGGATGGGTCAAGAGGGCGAAGGTGGACAGGAGGACGGGGCATGTGGACAGAAGACGGGGTAGGAGGGGGCAGGTGGACAGGAGGACGAGGCATGTGGACAGAAGACGGGGCAGGAGGACAGGGCAGGAGGGGGCAGGCAGACAGGAGGACAGGGCATGTGGACAGGAGACGGGGCAGAAGGACAGGGCAGGAGGGGCAGGCAGACAGGAGGACAGGGCAGGAGGGAGCAGGTGGACAGGAGGATGGGGCAGGAGGGCGCAGGTGGACAGGAGGACCGGCCAGGAGGGGGCAGGTGGACAGGAGGACGGGGCAGGTGGACAGGGCAGCAGGAACTGGCAGGAAGACTGGGCAGGAGGACTGAGCAGAAGGCGGAGCCAGGTGGACAGGGCAGAAGGCCGATTCCACACAAGGGTGAGTAGATCAGAGGTGGGGATGGATGGGCTGTCACTTCCTGGAAGCTACTGGCTCCGGGTGCCCGGGCCACAGACCCGGGGAAGGTCTGGGTGTTCGAGCCGCAGACCCCTGGGGAGGTCCCGGGGCGGCCGGCCGGCACGGCGGAGGCGGGACGCTCCTTGGCGGCGGCCGCACTCACCCAGATGATGAGGCTGTCGCACAGCGGCAGGTCGGGCTGGGGCAGGGGCTGCGGGTCCTCCATGGCCCGGGAACCTCAACGCCGCGCTCACCGCGACCTGCCTCCGCTCGGGCCCGTGTTGACTACCTGTTCTTCGGCCAGGCCCCGCGCCCGCGCGACTGACGCGCGAAGCCTCACGCCGCCGACGTCGCAGCGTGACCGCCTCCTCGCCCGCCGCGTCCGTCCCGCGCAGCGCGGCACCTGAACCCGCCCCGCCTGCCCGCTGCTCCCCGCGCGGAGTGACCTCGGCGAGCACCAGTCACAAAGAAGCTGGGCTGCCCCGAGGCCGCGGGGCGGGAGCAGCGGGAGTAGGTCGAGCAGGCTGGGCTTCGGATTGGACGCGCCCTAGGGAGCTCTGACCAATCAAGGAGGCGCAGGCCCTCAGCCAGGAGGAGTGGGAGTGGGTGGGGGACGTTTATGACCCGGCAGGTGCGGTGAGGGCGGGGCTGGGGGAAGGGAGCGCGCTTGCGCGGGCTGGAGTGGCAGCCTGGCAGAGGGCGGTTCGGGTCGTACCGTTCTACCTGCTCCCTGGGGCTGCCTCCCATCGCACCTGTGCAGACCCTCCCCGCTCCCAGGGTCTTCCCGATCCCACCACAGTCATCGCGAATTAAAATCCCTAGAGGAAGGAGGAGGGAGCTCCTCCTAGGCATTCATTGGAAGGAAATGTTCATTTGCAGAAATGTTTCCCAAGGAAAAGAAACTCCCACAGATTCAGAGAGTGTGGCTACTATCATTTGAAATAGGGTAAAGGTAGCAAAATGAAAGAGCATTTGAAAAGCATATCGACGTACTACCCTTGAGGGGGCGTGTGGAAATCTACCTTCTCAGAATGTTGGAGGCCTGGTGCAGAAAAACTGAAGGTGGGACGCTAACAAGATGATTTAGGTTATTGACTGGGCTAGAATATTCTTTGGCTGTTGGTTCTCATCGCTTTCACTCATTCATAAAATCAATCCATGCTCTGTATTAAAAAGCAGCTGAATCCTTTAAATTACTGTGATGCTATATTTAGACACTGGGCAAAACTGTTGAGTGGCAGATTGAAAGCCCCCAAATATAAATCGGTCTGATTCTAAAAATACGATGTGGGCATTTGCTGTTGACTTCCTTCACGTTACTGAAGATCTTCCGTGTCCGGAGTCACTTCGTATTTCGAACACTGGAAACAGTCAATTTCATGAAATTTATAAGATCCAGGAATTGATGACTCGGTATTGTGACTTTTTCCCTTACCAGTTGATCTCCGCTCTATCCTAAATGTAGACCCCTGCCTCCCTGTGCCTGATAGTCTTAAAGTCAACTTGACACATCTGGGTTGAGGGAGCCTCAATTGGGGAATTGCCTCCATGGGACTGGCCTGTGGCCGTGTCCGTGGGGTATCTTCTTGATTATTGAGTGATGTGGGAGGGTCCAGTCCATTGTGGGTGGTGCCACCCCTAGGCAGGTGGGCCTGTGTTGTATAAGATAGCAGGCTGAGTAGGGGCCAGGGAAGCAAGCCAGTAAGCGGTGTTCCTCCATGGCTTATGCTCCAGCTCCCGCCTCCAAGTTCCTGCCCTAAGTTCCTACCTTGGGCTCCCTGATGAACTGTGACCTGGGAGATGTAAGATAGAATATACCTTTTCCTCCCCAAGTTGGTATTGGTCAGATTATTTTGTCACAGCAATGGAGAAACAAACCAGGACACTCCCATTCCTAAAAATCACTAGACTTAAAATATAACCATACATAGTAAAAATCAAGTAAATTACAAATTGTAAAACTTGAAATATGATTTACTATAACCATATATACTTAGGAGCACATTGGTCGTTGAGAACAACAAATGAGTGAACTGTTAAAATATTTAATGAGCATTAATGGGAAGAGGCTATCATACTAGGCTCCATACATATGAAAGATAAGATCTCAGGGAAGAATGTGCAATTAAAATCTGATGTGAGGGATGATTGGCAAATTCAGAAAGAAAGCTCAGTTATTTCAAATACAAAAAGAAAATCAAGTTGCTGGAAAAACAGCAATAAAAATGTTAAGAGAAAATGTAATGCACAACTGGAACAAGCATTTTGGAAATATTTAACTTGTTTATCAAGAATCTTTAAAGATTTGTTTTTGTTTTCATTCGAGTGTGTGCCACATGTGTGCAAGTGACTTCTGGGGCCAGGAGAGTGTTGTCACAACCCCTGAGGCTGGAGTTACAGAATGTTGTGAGGGCTAGGGACTAAGAGTAGCATGCACTCTTTACTCCTGAGCCATCTCTCCAGCCCCAAGAAACTTTTAAATATCTAGAACATTTAAACCCATAATCCTATTCCTGTAATAATTCCAGAATAACTCCATAATTCAATTTGCAAAGTGATCACAAATTCAGTCACTAATGTATTGAAAATCAATTATAAATATTGATTGATCAATCACAAGTTCCATAAGCAAGAAAATTATAAAAGAGTCATATCTAATAAAAATAGCACTGGAGAATATGTATAAACTGGAGCTCTCACAATGAATAATTGGTTATAATTAATTTATATTAAATATAATTGTAATATAAATATAATTTATATTAAAAATAAGTATCAGCCATGTGGCCTCAACTGTATGTTATCTAAGTATTTTAATATGTACATAGTAAGAAGTCAAGAGTATTTATCAAACTATTATGTTTGTATGTAAAGTATTTATATTCTGAGATATTTAAGTTCTGACCTTTCTGTAGTTAGCTGATATTAATTTACAATGGTAGGACAATAGAAAGAAATTCCCAGTTTATGAGCTATGATTTCCAATCATTAAATTGGCATTACATTTTTAAAGTTGGTATCCAAGTTTGAACAGTTGAATAAAACTAACTTTAAAACACTAGTTATGAAATTACAAATTGGCACAATCTTTCTGAAAATACTTATTTCAAGAGATTATAAAATGTTAGAATCTATTAGGCCAATAATTTCACTTTCAAAATCTATTTTAAGATAATAATCAGGGGAGCCAGACAGATGGATCAGCTGGTAAGAGCAATGGCTGCTCTGGCAGCCAACCCAGGTTAGGTTCCCAGCACCCACATAATGGCTAGCAACCATCAATAAATCCAGGGAATCTGAAGTGCTCTCTGGCCTCCAGGGGCATTGCATACATGTGGTGTACTGACATACAGGTAAAATACTTATAAACATAAAATAAAAATAAGTCAAAGAAAAAGATTGCAGTGTTATCAAAGCTTTAAAAAGCTAACAAAATATTTGAGAGAAGAGTGATTTTCATAGTATATTTTTCCATTAATGCACTCTTGAACAAAGTTTAATCATTCAGAGAAAATGTAATAATATGAATTTGAATGTATAACATGGATCTCATTGTGTATATAGATCTCTGTGAGTGCAGGAGTATATTATGTATGCATATATTTATATGGGAGAGAGGAAACACAGAGATGGGGGTGGAAGGAGAGAAGACTAAAGAAAGTAGATTGAAATGTCACTCTGACCAGAAAGGATGCTCCCATCTACTCACACTGCCAGGAACAGACTTTTTCCTGCTATAAAATCAGTATTCAGTAGGAACAAGTAGGGACACTGGGAATTTTGCTCCTGGGTCATTTGTAGACATAAATTTCAGAGATTTTTGTATCATCTATGCAACTGCCTTCTAATGCATTTTAGCTCCGTCCTTGCTATTGACATTATCTTCAGTCTGTTGGACTGCCCAAAGAGAAATTGTCCTAAGATTTCCATGCAAAATTCAAGCCAAGTGCAAATTCAATTTAGGAGCAGAGGCAACTGTGCTGGATAGCTTTAGTGTCAAGTTGACACACCTGGGTTGAGGGAGCCTTAGTTGGGGAATTGCCTCCATTGGACTGGCCTGTGGCCATGTCTGAGGGCATGTTCTTGATGAGTGATGTGGGAGGACCCAGCCCACTGTGGGTGGTGCCACCCCTGGGCAGGTGGGCCTGTGTTGCATAAGAAAGCAGGCTGAGTAGGGGCCAGGGGAACAAGCCAGTAAGCAGCATTCCTCCATGGCCTGTGCTCCAGCTCCTGCTTCTAGGTTCCTGTCCTGAGTTCCTACCTTAGGCTCCCTGATGAACCTGGAGATGTAAGCTGAATAAACCCTTTCCTCCCCACGTTGGTATTGGTCAGAGTATTTTGTCACAGCAATGAAGAAACAAACAAGGACACAGCAATGAAGAAACAACTCTGCCATTGTGAAATAAACATCTATAGAGCAAGGGATTTAAAAATTGTACCACACGCAAAATAGATTCTGAGATGCAGATTAGCATGCAGATGATTTATTAAGAAATGTTCTTAGAATAACATCTGTGAGGGGGAAAGAGACAACACAGAAGTGGGTAGAGAGAGAATCAGGCTGAGGTACAGTCCTAATGAAGGCCACATCTGATCTAGCATCAGAACTGGAATGACCCTTCCAAGCTGTCCCGAGTTTGAATGAAGAGTCCCTGATCTTTGGTGGGTAGGCTGTTCTGTGAACGTAGCCTGACAGCCTAGGTAGGTCCAAAGAAGGCTGTTGGCTCCTGGCAGCACTTCCAGATGCAGAAGCATCCAAGAAGAACTTCATAGTGTTCTCAGCACTGCAATCTGTCCCTCCTACCGTCATTTGGGAATGGGGTGCCAGCACTCAGAATGGTTTCAGAAAAGAGATGGGCAAGTGACCACAAGTGTGCCAGCAAATCACCACATTAACAAAGGTTAAAATAGCCACAGAGGAGGAATGTCGTCATTCTTGGTTTGTGGATTGAGAAGGCTCCAGAGCGAACAGGGATCATAGCCATAGTTTTACATCCAGGGTTGTTGTCAAATGGACTTGATTGATTTCTTGGATGATTTAAGACAGAGCTACCTAAGAAAACAAAGTTACAAAAAGGCAAATTAAAATACAGTATAATATTTTCAATTATGGTTTAAATTTATGAGGAAAATCTTGCTATTTATTGAATGAAAAAATATAACCATTTAATTTATTAAGTGTATTTAAATTCATTCTAAAGCTCTAAATCAAGTATAAATGAATCTTGTCCCAAATAACTCAAGTGATTTAATGTAATGTGTTATGGGGCATATATAGAAAAACAACAGGTAAAAATTGGCATTTGGAAAAATGTGCTTATAATGTAACTAAAGTTTCTTTTAAATATTTAAATACTGTACTTTATACCTGTATTTAGCTAAGTGATTCATAAAATATGTCACCATCTTACATTTGGT